ACGACTAAAGAGATATTCTGAGCCGGCTTTACCCGAGTCGGAAGGTTGTGGGTTGAAGCCGCGTGCGGGGACTTTGTGCTCAGTCTAAGCTGAAGCTCCGGCCCAGTGCTGGGGGAGTGCTGCTTGGGTCGGAGGTGCTGTCCTTCTGATGAGCTGTTAAAACCGCGATCTCGCTGAGACGGCGGCGAAACACATCATCAGAAGGATCAGAACGTCATCTCTGGGCGAGGCAATGGCCTTCTCGCACGGCATTGGAGAGTCAGCTCAGCTCGGAGAGATGACGTGAAACCGTTTAAGTTTCCCCAAACGACTTACAGACGAGCCAGTTGTCAATTACCATTTCTGTCAGGAGTTGTGGATCCGTTGCTGAATGCAGCCATAAATTTCACTCACTTATCATTAGGGACAATGCTTGCAATGGGGTATCGCTGCTTTCACGCTGGGATCACGTCTCGAAGCGCTTCACGGGGTTTTACTGTGGAGCGTAGTGACTGTATATCCGCCAGCCAATTTACACACAGCAACGTCCCCACAAACAGCCGTGAAGTGAATGGACAATTTTAGCTGGGGGGAGGGGAGTGTTGGCCAGGACACCAGGAGAGAGAAGCTCCTTTCTCAATCTCAATCGTGCCACGCCATCTCTTAATGTCCACCTGAACAGGAAGACGGGACCTTGGTTTTTAACGTCTCATCTGAAGCATTTTGCAAAGAAATGTTCTATAACGAGCTGGTTTATCACTACGGCAGCTGGCCCTCCTCTCGCTCAGTGGGGGCGGATGTGAAATAAAATCTAGCGTGTTGGTGCAGCACAAAGGAACGGAGGGTGAACAACAGATCATCAGAATTCCCCGTGATTTTGCAGGTGTTGGATAAGCTGCACTGTTCCCCCCCCCCCAGAAGGGTATAAAAATGCACTTGATCCGAGATACAAAGCTGCAGCAGTTCTCTGCTCATTACACATTGCTTCCAGCTTCCCTCCTGCGCCTGTGTTTCACACCGTTGGGCGTTCTGCGACTTCTGAAAAGAACGTTAATCCGCCTCAGAAATTTCCAACCTTAAAAAGTAAGCTCCATCCAGGCAAACCTCGACACTCGCTGAGCCGGCTGCCACCGTGCGGAGGAAAGCAACAGGAGTAACCGCACGAGCATCGCAAAGGACCTGGCTCGGAAATGGGTCTAAAGACACTGCCCACGGGAAGTTGATGACATTTCCGCTTCACCCGTTCAGGAACTCGGCTCCCAAAGAATCCACGGAACCATATTCATAACATCCAGGCTCGAGTACGCAATCTACCTGCTTGTCGGCCTCCCCAACGCCTCCCTCCATAGGGTGCAGATCATCCAGAACTCTGAAGCCCATGTCCTCTCCCGCACCAGGCTCCGTGACCCTATCACCCCCATCCTCGCCCGACACCACTGGCTTCCCATCACACAGAGGATACAGTTCAAGATCCTGGTCCTCACCTTCAAAGCCCTCCCTGGCCTTGCTCCCCCCTACCTCTGTGACCTCCTAAGCCCCTACCTGCCTACTCCTTCCGCTCAGTGGGCTCCGGCCTGCTTCATGTGACCAGCCTCGCCCACCCCACGGGCCTTCTGCCACTCTGCCCCCCCAGTCTCTGGAACTCCATGCCGCAGGCCCTCCGCCTCGCCCCCTCCCTTGCCTCCTTCAAGACCCATCTCAAGACCCTCCTCTTCGACCGTGCCTTCGGTCACGCTGCTTAACCCTCCTGCCCTCCACCCTCCCCAATCCCGACCCCCAGCTCGGGTCCAAAACATCGACTGTCCGAGCGCATTGGGACGTCCTCCCGCCATGAAAGGTGGTGGTGCTCTACACATGTAATTTTGTTGATGATGTTGAAGCACTTTTGAGACGTCTCAACGATGTGATAAGGCGCTATATCAAATGCAAGGATTATTATTATATTGGAGAGTGTGGCTGTCTCAGCATTTATTTCGAACCTTCACAGCAGTATTCTGGGATTTGAGGGCTATAGATCCAACAGCACGTTGTTCTGAAGCATTGAGATGCCAGATAAAGCGGTAGGATGTAGGGCACGGTTGTACAATATAGGCCAGTCGTTGCTATTGCTCCAGTTTTTTTTGGTTCATCGCTTCAGCAGTTGTAGGTCGAATAATTTATTTACATGATCAAAGGCCTAAGGAATTGAAGAAAGCCTCTTATGGAATGAGATATGTAACTGGCACAAGGTTTCCATCTGAACACTAAAAAGGACAAAACTAGCCACGTTTCTGACTTTAAACCACCGGAGTTTGCTGCTCTTTCAATGTCAGCAAACTCGCAGCCACTGTTGTTGATTGGATCGGTGTAATAATAATAATTCTTGCATTTCATACAGCGCCTTATCACTTCTTCGAGACGTCTCAAAGCGCTTCACAGATCGTATCGTAAGTGGATTGACTGTGCATTTTGTGGGTGAAAGTGTATGCACGAGAAAGGCTTTGGACAGTAACCTTTAGGTGACTGATTTGTGCATGAAAGTATAAAGGAGGAATTTGCCGGCAAAAGACATCACAGAAAACCGCACTCAATCTGTCAAGAACAGCAAGACACAGACCACAAACGTCTTCTGAAATTATTTTTTGTAACGTTAAAAAAGGTACAGTCACGTCAAAATAGAATACACAGCTCCTATAAAACTGCCCCTGATGACATAAGAAAATAGTGTGAATATATAATAAATTCTATAGTATTTACCACGGTTGATACACAGATGTCTGACAGCTGCTTTCTGCTGCTCCGTTTCATTTAAAGTACACTACACAGCAATGTCCAGACTGAATTAAAGACGCATGATTAAAGACTTAAAGGATTATTACAAGCAGTTCTATACTGAAACAACATTACTTCCCGAGGTTTTCCTGTGATTGTTTTGTCAAGCATAAAGTAATGATGAACAGTTCCTGTTTATTTACTCTGGTCATAAGGTCTCTAGGCAAGTTATTTCATGATAATTTATGATGCACATTTGATTCGCATATATATATATATTTACACACACACACACACACACAGTAGTGTTGCCGTAAGTACAACCAAAATCGTTGTAGTCAGTTAATATTCATGCAATTGAATCAGTGTTCTTAGATCATTTTATAATGTTTCTACCAGTGTTTCTTACTCTCCTAATCCTAAATCCAATCCAGTCTTTAGTACAGGCAAAAAAGTCAGTGACGTATGTGCTCCTTCCTTTCCTTTAGCTTTTAAAAGATTTTTTAAAAAAAAAAGTCACCAACCTTTCCTCACCCTTAGTTAAAAGTTACAGCAAAATCGTAACCCTGTTTAAAAGCAAGTCGATTGTGGAATGCATTTGGAAATACAAATCGGCTTGTCGTTAGAAAAACGCCAGAAAATGAAAAACTACCAACGCTAAAAGTAAACGGGTCTTGAAACAGTCCTGGTCCCAGCACAAATATTGTCAGATCCCGTCTGAGGAATCTCTAATCAAAGTAAGCAGACTTATTCGGTTTATAATGACATAAAAGATTGGAAGGGGCAAAGACTGATTCTGCTTCCGATGGTTTAGAACGAGCGGAGATAAAACAGGAGGGAATGAAAAGTGTCCACCGCAAGGTGATTATTGATGCAAATTTAGTTCAGGGTAAAAAAAAAATCTCAACAGACATCTCTGGCCACAGTTAAAAAAAGAGATGTGAAGAACAATTTTAATCAGTTAATTTGAACTAATAATAGTCCTTGCATTCGATGTAGCGCCTTATCACATCTTTGAGACATCTCAATGCGCTTTACAGGATATACTGTAAAGTGAATTGACTGTATAATTGTGGGCGAAACGCGGCAGCCAATTGCGCACAGCAGCGTCTCACAAACAGCCGTGGATTGAAGTGACCAATGTTTTTTTCTTGAGGGATTATTATCAGGGGTGTGGAGTAAGGAAATTTGCCCGACGTTTCGTCCTGTTGGGAATCAAACCCAGGTCTCTCGCTTGCGAGGTGAGTGCTCTAACCACTGAGCTACAGGACTCCACTAGGATTGTGCTAAGTTTGATTTGGTCACATCAGCTCAATGGACCTCAATGGTTTTTTTCCAGTCCTATACATTGCCAGGATTATGAATGAACATAAACTCGCTCCAGGATCTTACATTTTTACCAACATGTTACTTTCTTTTTTAAAAAAAAACTATTCCTGTGAGACGAGTCTAACTAGAAGTTACTCCATTACGATTTCTCTTGTCCAGACTGAGGAGGAACGAGTGATAAGTTCTGAACTGCATCTCAATTACAATAACAATAGTGCTTGCAATGTGTTATAGCACCTTTGAGAGGTCTCAAAGCGCTTCACGGGATTTACGGTAGATGGGAGTGACAGTGGATTTTGCAAGGAATACTTATATTGACTGAGAAAAATACTGAAATAGAGGCCTGGGAAAGGTTGTGCTGAAAGATATTTATTATCTTCTCATAAACAGCAACTCTATTTTGGACTTGGGAATCTAAAAGAAGCACTAAATGTTTCCCTTGCTGCTGAATAAACCTGTTAATCATTTCACCACATCAATGCGTTTCAGTGTTAGTTCTTTTTCTTAAAAAAAGCTCTCACCTGGTTAATCAGACAGACTCCGTAAACCAATTCAACGAGAGTTTGGACTGGAGTCTGGCAACAGATCAGTTACGAGGCTCACTTCAATGTGCTTCAAAAAAAAAAAAAAATTGGTGCAAGGGAGTTGAGAAATTTCAGAAGGAATGAGCCCAAAACGCCACCGATATTCCCCCATCGATGAGCAGGGAATGACATGATGCACCCAACGGAAAAATCTGCTTTACGCACAGAGGGAATCGATCCAAATTTAAAAAAAAAACACACCCTAAGAAAAAATCTCGCCACTGATTATGTTACAACCTCTTTCTTGCCTTCTGTAAAATTTTTATTGCATAATATTTAGTCGAGAGTTTTTTTTTTAACTTTACTCTAACACTGCTCTTCACATCAGCTTTTTTTTTTAAAAAGTAAGAGGGGGGGGGGGGGGGGGGGGGACGGACTGGTCTGTCTAGAGTAACACTGATTCGGGGATGGTTCGTCCGTCTGTCTGAGGCTTTCCGTAATGTTGGCCACTGTATTGAGGCGAGCGCTGATGTCGTGGCTGTGCATCTTGATAGGGTGCAGTTCTGTAATAGGCACTGGTGACGTCCACAGGCGGGCCTGGGTAGGTGAATTCCGACACAGGAGCCTGCTGTGCCTTTCCGAAACTTGGCGATCGCTGTAGAGTTCCCATGTGCCACGGGTCAGGCTCCTGGCTCCACTGCCGGATGTACTGTTCCTGCCTGTAGGGCGGAGAGGACTCTTGCCTTCTTCGGTGGTCGATTTGGTAATCCATGTACTGTTCTGGCGAAAACTGCTGCGGGCCTCTGTGCGCGACCGGCTGCCTCGCGTACTTGGCGCTGTTCACCGAGTCAAACCGCCCGCCGTGATCCGAAGGCTGCACGGCGATCCTGAATGTCTGTGAAGCGTTAGAATATTGGCGGCCAGCGGAGTGGGAGTTCAGGTACGCCTCGGGATGGTCCGACATGTGCGTTATCTTCGTACCGTACTGTCTGTTGTCAGGGTTGACCTGAATCCCGGACAAGTTGAAATGATGCTGTGGCGAGAGGGGCATCTCTCTGTCTCTCTCTCTGGCGGGCGAGTACTGCGGGGGGCTGCCGTGGTACACGGGGGGGCCGCTGTAGGACGGGGGCAAGGTAGGTTGCCGCTTTACTGGCGATCTTTGGTTAGAGCTCATCGAGGCAGTCCTTGAGGATCTCGGCTGAGAGGTTGCATTGGCATTGCTTGTGCTGCTCGACACCCCTGGAGGAAAAAGCCTGGACGGACTCGGAGCTTTGAAGATCGCTTCCCGCACGGTTATCGTGTCGTTGTGAGGCGCGTTGGGGTCTCTCCTCTCCAGCACCTCAACGCGCCCGTCGTATTCGTGCTCCTCCCCGGGGACGTTGTCGTATTCGGAAGCGTTCGAATCCCTCTTTGTTTCGTCAACCTCGATGATGTGGCGTTTGGCTCTCGCCATGAGCAGGCGCGTTTCCTCCGGGCTGGACGGGGAGCTTGGTTCATTGTAGCTCCCAGTCCTGCCCCTGCCCTCCGCAGCCTGTGTCCTCACCCCCGAAGGTTTGTTCCACTTTGGTGCAAATTCCTTCTTAGCGCCGGGGTTGGCGTTGGAGTTCTGGTTGGCGCTAGCGTGGCTGACCTGTCGAGGGTCCCTGCGCGCTGCTGTTGCTGCTGCTGCTCCGTGCTGGGGTGACAGCCCCGGCTGTCTCCTCATGTCCATATCCGGCAGGACTTTCACTCGGCTTCGCTGGTTTTCTGCCAACCCTGCCGGCTTTTGAGATTTAAGAGGCGACTTTTCGGGAGAACTCTTCTCGACCTGCTGTCGGGTTCCTTCTCCGGCAGTTTCTCCGACGCCGTCTTGCGATCTTTTCTCTTTGCCGTTGGGGGTCCCACTTTAGCCGCGTTGTTTTGGCCGTTGAGGGCGTGGTTCACGACGGGGGGCATCTCCGGCTCTGCCGGTATCTGACCCAGGGACCTCTGTGGAAATTCATCCGCTTTGCCTGGAAAAAGAGACGGCGAGAGAAAAAAAAAAAAGGCAGTGTTCAGAAACGCAGCAGTAAAGCTTCGTGTTTTCCCCTCGACGCGCAATCCCAGATTACCGTGAGCGAGGACGCCGTGACTCACTTTTCATGCAAACAGTGTCGGTCGCAACCACAAATATCCGGAAGCAAAAATAGCCGACAAGGAAAGCTCAGACACCATTCAGAAAAAAAAACACAGAACGTGCTTCACAACACCCAACCTTTTAAGAGTGCTCGGTGGCAATTATTACAGCAAAACAGGAAAATTATGCCTTTTAGGTACTCTTGATAAGCTATCAAGGCTTCAATATATACTGGGATTTGCATGTCACACACTGTACTCATTTTTTACACTGTAATCTTCAATCAGCCAGTATTCTTCCAACTACTTTATGTAAGATAACAGTGTGTTACACAATGATGAGGGGCAAAGACAAAATTATACACCAGAGATGCAAAATGCCTCGCGCAATACTTTGTAATATATTAATAGAGTTTACGAGAGCAGTTTTATTCAGGTTTAATAAGTGTTTGCTGATGGTGCATGCCATGACTGCCAACAAAGTAGACTCTTTCGAAATAACAACCCATCTTTTGCTTTCAGCTACCGATCAATCTGCTGTGCAGTTCCAGCGTTTTGGGGTTTATTTCGTATGATCCAGCACTTTTGCCTGGATTTTTTGAATAATAATAATAATGATGCTTGCATTTGAATGTAGCGCGTTGCCATGCCGTTGCGATGTCTCAAAGCGCTTCACAGAATGTATTGCAAAGTGGAGCGACTGTATATTTTGTGGGGGAAACGCAGTAGCCGACTGCTCACAAACAGTAGTGGATTGAGTGATAACATTTACTTATTTACTTATTTATTTGGGGAGATTATTACCCCCAGGAAAGCAATCCGGCAATTGACTAACAACTGGGTTCCTACTTACTGCTGGGCAAACAGGGGTGTAAGGAAACTTGCCTTAGATTTTGCCCTACTCGGGAATCGAACTGGGGTCCTCTCACATGCGAGGCGAGCGCGCTAACTACTATACCGTGGGACTCCGCGATGTATTTATTTTAGAAAATAAGAACTCCCCTGGGGACCGGGGGGTGGGGGGGGGGGGGGGGGAGGAGGGACAGAGAAAGAGAAGAACATCAAAAGGCAAACTTAAATCTAGTCTGTGAGATGATTACTAAACTCTGAAATTCAAAAGCCCCAATTCAGGAAATATCTGGTTCTAAAGTGGATTAGCGAGGAAGCCACATCATGTTATGTATTTTATAAGCTTTATAACAGGATACAATGTAATGCATCATATGTGATTCATAAGCATACACCTTCAATGGACCATAACACGCCGCGATAGCAGTGCCCTACTTACAAAGCCGCACTCACATAAGCCTTCGAGCCAGAATTGTCAATTGGAATCACTTTAGATTGTGACATTTTCAACTGAGGAACTGCCACTATTTTCCACGGAACTTGGCATAAAATACAGAAGGGATGAGCAAAGAAAGGATTACAAGAGAATCCGAATGACAGCAAGACATTAATTACAGAAGCCGGTGATTTTCTTTTCCAAAAAAAAAAACACAGCGAAACGAGCCAACGGCAGCCAGAGAAAATAAGCTCGAGTGTGCTCAGGTTAATGTGGTCATGCACGATTTGACATATCTTTTTCCCCCACATTACTGAAAATTTGCATCAACACCCGTCAATTTATGGAGGATTGGTTTCAGGAACGGAACTGGATTAATCAGGTAGGGTTCAGTACGAGAGATAGGCCAAACTGTACAATCGCAAGCATGGATCGAGTGGGAAGATCGGGGTTCATTGGTGAATCCTTGGAAACTGCAACCTTTTTTTTTTTGAGTACAGATTGTCCTTTTCCGGTCTCAGCAGAATGTGCACGTCTTTATGGCCAAATTTGAGACACAGATATGAAACATTACGAAGCCAAAATAGACAACTGCAAGGAAACAAAACTCTTCTCTTGCTACAAAACTGGGGTCTATCGTGCAAGTTGTGCAAACCACGTGTAAGGGGTAATAATAATAATAATAATTCCCGCATTTGATATGGCGCCTTCTCGCGTCTTCAAGACGTCTCAAAACGCTTTACAGAATGCGCTGCGTTAACTGCATCTTTTGTGGGAGAAACCCGACAGCCATTTGCACACAGCAGTGTCCCACCAACAGTCATGGATTGAGTAACCAAATTATCATTTTTTTTTAGAACGGATTATTACCCCCAAAAAAGCGATCCGCCAATCGACTGATAACCGGGTTCCTACTTACTGCTCGAGTGTGGAGTAAGGAAACTTGCCTAAGGTTTCGTCCCGTCCGGGAATCAATCCCGGGTCGTCTCGGTTGTGAGTCGAGTCCGCTAACTACTAAGCTACAGGACTCCACAAAATAGTGTGTACAGAGGGAATTACTGTGGGTGTACACTACACAGGAAGATTGGCTTTCAGTGCTGACTTCCATTCTTTCCGCACTAAACAAATAGCAACTTCCAGGTCATCAGATCAGCGCTGATGTCCTTCGCACAGTGCCCTGAATCTGTCACTTCTGTTACCGACTTCAGCGCAAGAAGTGATATCACCAGAAACCCAACGACTGCCCATTTCTATAGCTTTGTTTTAAGACAGGGTCTAGTGTTGGACCCCGACTGCGTTGTGATTGGATTGTAATTAAGATTTATTTTAACATCAACTGTGACATATCAAGGGCTTGTATTTTTTAAACATCCTTCTAAAACAATTATTTAGGTGAAGTACAACGTTTCCATTTTGGAACCCCCTCCCCTCTTGGACTCAACTCTGCCCGGACCAGACAGATTACTCTGTGGATTAAAGGTCAGCCCGAGTTGAGGAAACATTTCTTCACTCAGAGGGTAGTGAATTGATGGAATTCTCTACCCCAGAAGGCTGTGGATGCTCAGTCATTGAACATATTCAAGACTGAGATTGACAGATTTTTAAAAACTAAAGGGATTAAGGGATATGGGGATAGGGCGGGTAAATGGAATTGGGTTAGAAGATCAGCCACGATCTTATTAAATGAAGGAGTAGGCTCGAAGGGCCGAATGGCCTACTCCTGCTCCTATTTCTTATGTTCTTATATATTTGGCAAGAACAGGAGCAGCTCCAAAAGAGTTATCTGGGAGCTTAAAGGCGATCCAGGCAGCCCCAGGGACTGCAAGAACGTTTGAAAGCACACATTCAGCACCCGCAACCCTGAAACTAAATAAGATAAATTCTTGCCTTTGATGCAACGTCTTTTCACGTCGTCAAAACGTCTCCAAGCACGTCACGTGATTCACTGTGACTGTATGGGCAGTGACTATATTTGTAGGCAAACACATGTGCGCACAGCCATGTCCCACAAACACCCATGAGTGGAATGACCAATGCATTTGGTTGAGGTTTCTAGTGCCGTGTTTCTGCACCTGCTCCCAGGTTGATTTCAAGCTGCTACCAGTGCTGAACTGAATGGTCTCTCTCTTTCTCCCTCTCTCTATACACATAACATAAGTCGCTAGCACAACTTAGCATACGAGATGGCTCCCAGAAGCATCTTCAAGCAAGAACTTCTTCTGGCTTCAGGTATAGAATTTTATAGCTGCTATTTTCTTCTATTTATAGAGCGCGCGCTTCACTTCCTCCAGGCTTTAATGCTTCTTTAGAGTGCTCTTCATGGAGCTTTTCATTCTAAGGTATCGTCCTTTCAAATCCATCTGCTGTTCGTGCCTCTCTGCTGCCAGGAGAGAGGGCGCACTTTCCGCTTTGGCCATCAGGAGGCACTGCTAACTGTAATTAATTTTGATTCCCTGGGCAGGGCGAAACCTCAGGCAAGTTTCCTTAGTCCACGCGCCTCTGTTTACCGAGCAGTAAGTAGGAACCCGGTTGTTAGTCGATTGGTGCGAGATAGCTTTCCTGAGGGTAATAATCCCATAAAAAAAATAAAAGAACTGTTTGTGGGACACTGCTGTGTGCAATTGGCTGCTGCATTTCGCCCACAAAATACACAGTCGATGCACTTAACAATACGTTCTGTGAAGCGCTTTGAGACATCTCAACAACGTGATAAGGCGCTAAATCAAATGGAAGGATTATTATTATAGTTTAAAAAAAATTAAGGAACAAGTGCCTGTAGCTTACACAAGAGATTATTATTACTACTAATTAGTCAGCATTAAAAATTGATGCAAACGTTAGGTTATTCCCGATAGACTTCTAAAACGCCTAGCACCATGAATTTCGAATAGGAAGCTCTGTACTCAAAACTGCGAAGTCGACAGCTCCTGGAAGTGCAAGTGACCAAAAAGGCATTGCAGATTCCACGCCGTAATTCATCTTGTGATATAGAATTTCGTTTTGAGATAAAATTCAGCAACATAGCTTTTTGAGACAATCCATTCGTCAGACGATTGTTCCAATAGCGGGTTTCAAAATGTCATAAATGTGGGGAAATTGCCATTTTTTTATTTAGATAGTGGTGCCAAATCAGCTTTTCCAGCTGAATACAAAGCAATGAAAAAACAAACAAGATCGGTTTCCCCCACCAGCTGTTTTTGTAGAGATGAAAGCGAGCCCTAGGCATAGCGAGGTGTTTGGTATCTGCCGATGAGGAAGGAAAAGAGACAAAAGGAAAATGGAACTGGGGTGGAGAGGGAGCAAGAGAACAGTTATGAAGCAGAAATAACCGTTTTAAAACTCAGTCGTCAAGCATCGAGGTTACGGGTAGAAAAAGCACTCGACAAACAGTTTTATAACTTGTGCTCAAACGTCTCCTCATCCATTCGGGTGTGACACCATCTGATTTAAATGGGACTTCTTCAAAAACAAGTCTTTTTTTTAAAAATATAAACCTAGAATCCTACCTCTTCGTAGTGCAAGCATTTCTTTTAAGCTTTCAGCGGCAAAATTTGAGGAAGCAAAATATACAAATATACAACAAATTACATTTGCACAGCAACTTTTCACGTCAGGAGGACGTCCCAAGGCGCTGGGACAGTCAGGGATTTGGATCCGAGCTGGGGGTTGGGATCAGGAGGGGTGGAGTGTGCAATGTACTGGATATATCCTGCAAGTTTTAAAATACCTGTAACTGGTTCAAGGATAAATCAATGTGTATTGAAACGGATTACAATAAATACTTTTATACTTCAGCTGTCGACTAAATGACGCAACAAATCTTTGCGAATTTGACTTCTTGTGGTAATCTCGATTTCCCAAATCCTATCTAATGAGAAACCCAGGAGAGAAAGACAGTTTGACACACTGCTTTCACACAGCTTGTCACGTGTGTGTGTGTGTGTGTGTGTGTGTGTGTGCGAGTATGGCAGCTGAGTCACTTAATGCAGCCTAATACTCCATGGTTTATAAAAGGACTCGAACATCATTACTTCAATAGCAAGAGCTATATACCTGACTACTTATGGAGTGATTGAGACAACACCCACTGTATCAATCTCTACCTACTTCACACACTCAGAACCCATCACTTTCCTAGACCTGTGCCCTGTTTAAACCACTCCATCAGTGAGCCAACAATGAGTCACTGGACATATATTACCTATTCGGAAGCAATCATGCCCAGATCTGAAGAGAGCTTTACTTAATGCACATAACTCCCAACAACTGGAGCTGAATGACACTTATTTTTTAAAGAGTCAGGGATTGTGTCAGGCTCTCGAATAATTTGAACAACCTGAAGAGGAAAGAGGGAAAGAAGAGTCCAATGGACCACCCAGGAATTCTGAACAATAATTTTTAAGTTGGAAGTTGTTTGGGGGAAATTATACTGCGGTTTGGCATGTTTTGGTGCTAAAATTACCTCTAACTGTAAACCTTGGAACCTGTTTCACGTCCCCCCCACACATTCTGTCCCCTCATTCAAGCTTTAAGCCATGCTATCCCTCTGTCTTGCTCTCTCCCTGCCAGCCTCCACACCTTCCAAATCTGCCTCAAGTCCTCCGTCACTTCCCTTGCCTCAATCTGGGCTCCCGGTGACACTTAACTGGTGGCACTCCTGACGTGAATGGTGCCGTGCAATGTAAATTGTTACTGCTATTGTTGGTCCCTATTCCGACCTTCTTTCTAGACAGGTCAACAGAGGCAACATCGCACCTAATAATTACGTAGATAGGAAAGGAGAGAAAATGGCCCAGAGGTCCACTCCGGGAGAACATCAGGGTTTAAAATATCTTTACAAAAATACCAAACTTATTAAGTTGGGAAATAGTGTCATGCAATTAGCATTAACCTTGTGAGCTCGATCTTCGCAGCTCATGCATGCAATACAATTACACAGATACAATAGTTTCCTAATCAGTAACCGCTAAAGTACTTTTGGGATGTTAAAAATCCAGTACGACTCCTTAACACTCTTAATCGCTGACTGTCAAAAAATAGCGCTGACAGGCCCAATACTCAGACAGGTCTGTCTCCACTGTTCTGTATGGGGGGAAAAAAACTCTCATTGACATTTTAAGTGCTGCAAAGCTTTGATATGCAAACTTTGCTGCCATCTGCTGGGAAGAGCTCAGTGCGATAGCACGCGATTGCAGAAGAAAAAGCCAGGTTTCTTTCTCTCTTCGTCTAAAATAAGGTTTGCAGCATGTCTGCCAAAAAAAATACAAGGCTTATCAAACATTCTCTTCTCCTCTCTGCAACGCGTTTCGGGTCTTAAAAAAGCGAGGTCAAAAAAAACCTGCACACGTCTGATGGCTCTCACGGCTTGATCTCAACATTCACCAACTGGAACGTGTAACTGACGGTACAATTGATCAGTCTTACTTAAGAAAGGCACAGATGGATGGGCCTTCGCTTCCTGCAGAAGGTTAGCTGCAGAGTAAGGTTGAAATCCTAATCTCATCCAGGTCACATATGACTGCAAGAAATTATCATGACCTGATCTCAGGCCTAACCATTATTGTAGGATTAAGCTATGTCTTCAGGAGAGCTCAGATTTTAAGATTTCCTCAAACATTTGCATCAACAGGCAGGAGTATATTAAAGTTTTATTTAGCGTGTTTCCCGGGTCTATTGTTTCTGTCGCAATTGATGAAAAATTGTGTATAAAAAAAACTTTAATAATCCTTATCCAGCTACAATATATTTATTGTATTAGATCATTCCCATGGGCACTCGTTCATTCCTTGTTCGAGTTGATTTTAATTGCTCCCATTAGCTGATTTGGTTATTGCTCAAGTCTCTGACCGGAGAGTCTAACGTTCTTGTGCTGTAAGTACGAGGTCATTGTAAACAAGGATTTTGATCATATTGTGGTGTTTGGAGTGAAGGAATCTCAATCTGTCCATTTTGGCAGTCAATAACAATAAATAATCCTTGCATTGGATAATCCTCCGTGTCACATTGTTGACCTCTCAAAGCTTCACAGAATACACTGTAAAGTGAAATGACTGTATATTAATTATGTGGGCGAAACACAGCAGCCAATTGTGCACAGCTGTTCCCCACAAACAGTCAATGTAAGGAAAATGTTTCTAACTGTTGAATGGGCAATTAACTTTTCAATTTTCAAACTCAAGAACGGCAAAAGTAGTTTTAGAACTATGTAGCAAACTTTTTTTCACCCAATAATGTCTTGTAAATATTTACATAGGCATAAAACACACTTAAAAATGAGTGAAATAAATCTAATTGCCGCTGATAACCTTATACCAATAAGATATCACTCGAGAAGTCCTTGAATTGTTAAAGCTTAATTGCCCTCATACATGTTCTCCCAGTTGGCACTGCTCAGCATAAGTTCAGCAGGCAAGAAGCTGAGCTATGCTGACTGAATGGATTTGTATAAAAGCAAGCTAAGCTTTTATGCCGCTCAGTGACAACTTATTGATATGACTTTGATGATGGCGAGGATTAGGTTTATTCCAATAGAGTTCTAAAAAAACTCAGGAAAGAAAAATGGACAACAGAAACGTAGACATCTGAGTAAATCAGCTTTGTAAAGTGATTGCCCTGCAGCCCGCAACTAAATTCCATCACGGTATAAATTAGGTTGCAGCGCGGGTCACCTTAGAGGGCCAAGACTCACCTGCTGCTGGCAAATCCAGTTTGCTACGTTTCAGCTCAGTCATCGAGTTCTGGAGCTGGTCGATCACAAAGTCGTCGTCAAAGAAAAAGTCTTTGGCCAAACTCTCCTGGAGGAACTGAATCAAGTCTTCCATTGACAACTTCAGTAGATGCTCTTTAAACAGAAACAGACATTTGTCAGTGTGCAATTTGTGGGTGGGAAGGAGAGAAGACTCGTTTCTCCTGATTCTTCTGTGCCACACAATATTTTCTGTCGTTCAGAGTAAGTATGATGCCTACTCCCACACCAAATCCATGGGTACATGAGAAACTGCAATGATTTCCCCTTGGACTTTTCTCTTTTCATGAAGTGTCTTGGCTTGCCTTTGCTCAGACCCTCAATCAAATGACACTCCAGAGATGGAAATGCGTGCATGAATTTACATCCTTCCACTGTGACACCAGTAGCCTGCTCATCATATATTCCTCCAACTCCTCCTTCTGTAAGCTCAATTCACCAGTGTACTTCTAATAGGTTTTTTTTAGTTTTCCTGATGTCTGAGCTGATAAAGCCACCACTTTGTGTGGGACTGATCTGCACAGATTGCAGAAGGGAGTATATAATAATAATCCTTGCATTTGTTATAGCGCCTTATTACGTCATTGAGATGTCTCAAAACGCTTCACAGAATAAATTGTATATATTTTTGGGACAAAAAGCAGCAGTAGCTAATTGCGCACAGCAGTGTCCCACAAACAGTCGTGGATTGAGTAACCAATTATTTTTTTTTTTTTGAGGGATTATTACCCCTGGAAAGCGAGCCACCAATCGATTAACAACCGGGTTCCTGCCTACTGCTAGGTAAACAGAGGTGTGTGGCGTAAGGAAACTTGCCTAACGTTTCACAGTTTAACAGTTACCCATCTTTGCCCCATATCCCTTAATACCCTGACCTAACAAATATCTTTCCGCTGCAAGTTAATCAGCGTCCGTTGAAGGAAGATGACATTGGGCACTCTGTCCTCATCAGAACATTCTTCACCACGATGACTGTAGAAATTTCACTATTATAGGTACTAGATTTTATTAAGACATCACAAAACGCTCAATATTCGAATACTGATGCGGTATTTGACCACATTACGCTTCAACACTTCAAAGGAGATGAAACAAAATGCACACAGTCGGTTAACTTACTTTTGTGCAGTTTAAGTATCGTGTAGGACATGGCTATGAGAATCCGTTCACCTTCCAACATGTAGATGTCCCATAGCCTCAACGTTAGGGTGAAAGGAGTCTATGACAAGGCAGATCAGGAATATTAGACATATAAGGAGGCTTAGAAATATCTCAAATGCTACAACATACTTTTTATACAGTATTAGAATAATTTTGAACTGCTTATTGATCAGCATCGTTATTGGTGTCTTACACCGACCACTTGGAAGGAAATGTTACAATCAATCACTTAAACTTTGTCACCCTATGGTCCTCTATAGCGTCAGGCATTTAACCAATTAGGTCAAGGTGAAAGAACACTGTGTCGCAGTACATCCATTCAGCTGGGTGCACAATATGGGTTAATTACACAAGCTCCATGGACAACATTGATAATGACAAGTGAAAGAAACCCAAAGGCAGTTACAAGGTGACCCTGCACTGGATAAGGAGGTACGGTGTAATAAATACTCTGTACAGACAGCTGTAGCGAGTTTAATGGTTTTCTCCAATGTGACCTAATTCGTGAGACTGAAGCTGTGATGCTGAAGCAAGGATTGAAAGGAAGGCCAATTGCCTCCCGTACACTTCTCCTTCGAATGAGTGCCAAATGGGAGAAATAATTCTTTTGATATTTAACAGTACGGCCACGATGCCTGATAGGAAACATTTATTAGCTGCAGACTCTGAAAAGGCAATGTATTTCACAATCTATTTAGAGTGGAGCTGTTTAGTGCTAAAGTGACATTCAGTGTGCTTCCAGTGAACCCCAGAGCTGCCAAGTTATCATGTACAAAACAGATTTGGTATCTGAGAACTGGTTTTAAGCTCAAGGATAACTTGATCGTCCTTCCTACCTGAATCCTCATTGTACTCTAATAAAAACTCATCACATTATACCTGGCCATAGCAACACGGGCAGAGAGCTGGAAGTGTGTCTGTCTGCAGAGGGTAATCAAGAGCTCCGAGCCCCTGCCCCACGTGAAGGGCGCTACATAAATGCAAGTCGTCGTTGTAATCGAGGACTGGAACGTGTTGCCAGGGAAGGTGGTGAAGGCAAGGACACTGGACGCAATTTAAAAAGCAGCTTTATGCGGTGATGGTGTGGTGAGTCATCTCATGGGTGAGATTGGATGGGCCGAAGTGCCTTCTTCATCCAAGTGGGGCGGTCCTAGCTGGACAAGCGGTGGGAAGGAAGCTTACCAGTTAGTGCTTGCAAAGGCAAGCTATGCGGTTTGGGCTGGTTAAACCCCAGCAGTATCCCAAGCCTCTACTCTCATCCACCTCCGCTTAATATTCATCAGACAAGCTTGGCGTGCTTCTCCAGGGAGAAACTTCCATGTATAATTAACATTAATACGTGGAACTCTCGTTCTGGTTTACATTCTCTGAAGCACGGTGATTGTTTTTCACATGGGTCAAGACACCCAACCGACCAAAGAAAAAAAATGGCTTGCGATTGATATGAAATCAATACGTAGGAAGCGGTGACGTTTGACACTGATGGGCAGGGGGGAAATTAGTTCGAAGTAGGGTTAAACCCTGATCCAGATTAGGTTCACTCTTGATACAAACTTTGTTTACAAACTAAACAAGGCACAAAACTGTTGCGTAGGAGAAGGGTAGTGACATGTGTATGGGGGCCATTCTTGATGAATGAGTCAGTGAAAAACATCGCTGCTGTAATGCCAATGAATGTTGCAACACAAAATACCAAATTAAAATTTATTCAAAATAGAACGGCTTTGACATTTGGAAAAATCAAAGCCCTGATTGTCTAATGCCGCTCTGCGCTCATGGAAAAATGCATACACCTACCCACTGCGCGGCTCTGAACTAATTAATTGATACTCGTTTAATGATCTGTGTTAGAAGGGATGCAAAGCGATTTGGTTTATGTTTGTGCGGTGTCAGAGTCTCCTCATTTACTTTAGAATTCGGTTTAACTAGACGCAAGTCTAGCTTTTCCTGGTGCTTCTGCGATTAATGCTTCCCTGATGCGACTCTGTATGCATGACCACTTATAGGGCAACGCAGAACTTGCTCTTTGCATTAATAATTATGCCTTTGATCAGATTGGTCCATCTCCCAAATTAGAAACCCAGAGAATGCATTTTTCAACCTCGTTTATAATTGCATCGTCGAGTTTAGGATGTGCACAAGTTTTCGAAACAATTCTAGAATTTATCTCAAGGGAGCAGGGATGAAGATCGTAAATTTGGACTGAAATAAGCAGTTAATGTTCCTCATCAATAGCCCTTTGTGCACAATTTAGAAAAAAGCTATAAATCAGTTTGTTCAGGCCACAATTTCTCCCATTCCTGTCATCAAGAATTTGGCTTGTCATGCTAGTTGCCGGGCACATTGCTTAACCTTGCATTATCCTCTCAATCCTATTCTTTCCCCATTTCCCAGTTTACATGTCATCATCATTCAGCTCCTCATTCTCTCCTTGTCAACATTTTCTCGTCAACTTTTCCATTCCGTTGCCAGATTTCTATTTCGTTTCATCGGATTTCCGCAGTCCCTTTTCTTCCTTTACTCGCTCATTTTCCACTTCGTTCTCTGTCATCTCAGAGTGCTGTGCTCCATCATGAGATTTTACTCAACTAAAGCTTCATAACTATTTCCTCAAGGAATGCCTGCCAGACGTACCGAGTTGTGCTTCCAAAACCCGGAGCTGCAATTTGACAGTGTCTTGTTGTTGGATCACAAACCAATCAGTCTATGCTTTCAGGTCAGTAACCCACAGAAAAGGATCAATGGGTCAAACCTGAACACACAACCTCAGGTTGTGACATAAAAGATACCACCGAACAAAGTGAAATGCAGAGTGTCGCAGAGTGCAAATGGTCCTTACTACCCACCAAGAGATTGGATATTCTTTATTTTGGCACAATACAATCAGCATTGGCCAACAAATAGATATGGAGCAATCACATCCAATTCAGTATTCACTCAACATCCACATATACTTAGCACAAGTCATTGTCAGTTCTAATCAAATAGATTTTGTGGAGCACCCAAGGCATTCATTTTCACGTGCAAGTTATCATTATTAAACATTTCCGCCATGAACATTCTGTCGCAGGTCTAGAATAAAAAGTGATTGGCTCTCGTAGCTGTTTTCTCTGATCAATCTACATTCCATCCCTTCTTGTTGCATCCTGACCCTTTTCCTTTACTCACTTTATTTCCCAGTAAACTTATCTCTTCTTCTCCTTACTTTTTCAAATGACTTGGTTTATTAAGACTTCCATAAGAACATAGGAAATGCTAGACGAGAAAAAGACCAAGGTCCACCTTCCTGGCAGTCGCAATCACATATGTCCCAAACTATCTATGTACTATGTACTTTCATTTGAACATTTCCTCCGGACACTAAAGCAAGCACATGTGAAAGCTAGACTACCTGTGATGATCTTTTCTTTATTGCCAGAAGTAACATATGCAGAATAAAATACCTTGCCAATATTTAAACAAAATTCCTTACGCTGTGAAGGATTGTAAATTGACTCCAGCCCACAGCTCAGGTGCATACTCTTGACTATTCAGCCCCTTGGGACGTCCTCCCGACATGAATGGTGGCATATAAATGCAATTTGTAGTTATTGCAAATAAGCCTATATAATGTTTAATACTCCCCTTCATTACATCCCCACAAAGTGCTGTGGGGAGTAAGGGAGGAAATGAGCAGAAGCAGATGAGAGGAAGCTTTATCCTGCATTTCGTTCATGGTATTCCTGCTCTCCCCGCCCTCCACCTCTCCTGATCCCAACCATCAGCTTGGGTGCAGATCCCTAACTGTCCAGCACCTTGGGACGTTCTCCTGACATGAAAGGCACTACACAAACGCAATGTGTCATTGTTATGCCTGACCAGTTATTATAATAAATCTTTGCATTTTATATAGCGCTTTATCAATTAACTGATGGCTACAAGCACTTCCCAGGATTTTTTATTGCGAAGTATAGTGACTGGATCTGTAGAGCAGCTGTGTAACATTCCAGCTCATTGAGGACTTTGGCTGACAAACCTAGAGACGGTGGCAACAATATAAAATACTTTTTGGGACTATCATTGGTTAAAATCTGATGAGTTTATTGTAGTGAATAGCTATTAACTATAATAATAATCCTAACAACTAATCCTATCTATACATAACAGCTCACTACCGCCAACACCTCTTGTCAAAGCAGAAATTAAACATTTTATATGCTTCCCCTCCAATCCCCTGATCTCATCTGTTTGAAGTGTGTTAGTGCTCATTTTACTGCTACTTTTCCCATCAATAATTATACCTGCTTAGTTGTACAATGAAAAGTTAACACAGCTGCTGAATGCAGCCTCGTTAACCTGAGGATCTACAAAAGTCAGAGCCTGGAGATAGTCATTACAGTCATTTAAACAATTATATCTGGAGTAATTTCAGAGTTCAGACACAGGCCAATATTTTACTCACTCAGCTCAAATCTGCACAACAGCTAATTAACCCTCTATTATTTAACACTGTTGAGCAACGCTCAGGATTTTAGAAAAAAAAAGTAGTCTTGTCAGAACAGTTTAGGGTTCTGCCTGTCCTGGTTTTCAATGATAGCAAGTCTCCGAGTCCCCAACTGGCTGGCTTAAAGCAACTTTGGCGGAAGCCAGAGAGTTATTGGTTATAAGAACATAAGAATTAGGAGCAGGAGTAGGCCATTCGGCCCCTCGAGCCTGTGCTCCGCCATTCAATAAGACCATGGCTGATCTTCTCACCTAACTCTGATTAACCTGCCCTATCCCCATATCTCCTAATCCCTCTATTTTTCAAGAATCTATCAGTCTCAGCCTTGAAAATGTTCAAGGACTGAGCATCTACAGCCTTCTGGGGGAGTGAATTCCATAAGTTCACTACCCTCCGAGTGAAGAGGGTATCTGCAGTCATTCCCAGTTGCACAATGCGCACAGGCTGAGAGAACAGAACAGAACAGAGAGAACAGAAACCAGGTGAGCGCGGTGACGAGTTTTATCTGTGAACAATCCCATACGCTGAGCTTGATTTAGCAAACGTTCACTATATATATCATTTTGAATATTCCTATACATGCTGGGAGCAGATATCTCTCCCCTCCCTCCCTCTCTCTCTCTCTCTGCCCCTCCCCACCAACCCACGTGGTTCTCAATGGAGATGCCTGGCTCTGGACTGCTGGTTAAGGGAAAACCAACTTTTTTTTTAAACTCAACAAAAAAAACCAGCAGAGGCAGCGTTCCACTAACCAGCGTTCGACAGTGAGTTTCACAAGTCCAAATGTAAGTGACTCGTCCTGAACGTCGCCACTGCGAATGGCATCCACTCCCTCCCTCCTCTCGTTCAAGGCACGTCTCAAAAGGTATCTCTTTGACCGCGCTTTCGGTCACTTTTCCCCGCCCTACCCAGGTTGCCGATCCAGCAGCGTCAAGCACTTTGAGACGCTATTTAAATTGAAATTGCATTGCATCAGGGGAGCTCCATATCTAGCACATCCAAAGAACATTTGATGTATCGCTAAAATGACCCCATTCATCTATTCCAAATCTATTACAGGCACCGCTTGGATGCAGTGCCAGTAAAACCATTCAGAGGTGGCAAACACAGACTTACATACCAGTTCCGCATCATGACAGTGCTAAATAGAGAGGTAATTTGTTTGTGCACCGGGTATCTTGTCACTTTCAGTGCAATTCGTTCAGAAATCAATGTTTGTTTTTTCTATTAGTGTTAAAACTACTGTACTGAGGATCCAGCAATTATGTGCCGAGACGCCTGCAATTTAAACTCAATAAAAGGTATTTCACTGCAACAGCAAAGGCAAGCAATATCCACAGACTTACTCGGTCCAAGAAACACTGGAAAAACCACTTCATGGTGTACAGACTGGTAAACACGTCCTCGGAATCCTGTGAAAAAAGAAAAGGTTGCATCTCTCTGTATTATTGATGACTTGATGTTTTGAATTTAAATTAAAGTGGAAAATCCTTGTGGATTTTCTTACTCATTTATAAAGAGAAATGGTGATCGGAAAACAAGCGATAGGAAAAGATTTCATCACATTAGCGTGAACCCAGCAGATTTTCACAAGCGTATTTTGATTTTGATTACTAATTACCAAATAAGCATGAGGAAAAAAAGTGTCTGCTTAAACCTGATTGTTGGTATTAATAATATTAGATTTAAAGATTTAAATTTAGACTTTAAATAATATTAATACTCAAATTTCATACAGCATTTGTCGTGTCATGAGGAGGTCTCAAAACACTTCACAGGATTCAATGATCCTATTTAATTTTAGGAGTTTTATAGTAATAGTAACCCTTGCATTTGATATAGCGCCTTATCGTGTGTTTCGGACGTCTCAAAGCGCTTCACAGAATATACTGGAAAGTGAATTGACTGTGTATTTTGAGGGTGGGATGCGATAACTAACTGCGCACAGCAGTGTCCCACAACTGTGGATTGAGTGACCAAATTCTTTTTTAAGGGATTATTATTCCTGAGAAAAGCGATCCGCCAATCGACTAAAAAAGGCAAGTGCTCCAAACAATAAACCACAGGATTCCTTGACTTTCTGTTTTTTACCGGTTATGTCAGAGAAGGTGCAGAGTGAGAGTGAAAGAGGTGAAATGGCAGAGTGAAAGGTTCAGTTATCTCCTCTGTCAGAAACAGATGGATGACACTTACCAGGTGTTGTTTCAGTTTGTTCATGAACTTCTTTAAAATGCGTTCATGGTGTTCTTGAAACCGCAACAGCTTTGGGAAGCCAGGAACAAAGAATCCTAAAGGAAATACAAAATTGCCCGAATATAACTTGCCTCAAAATTGCTTTTTTTAAAAAAAAAATAAAACAAAAGTTTCTTCTGGCATCAAATGCAGGCGCAAAGGTCGAGGAGAAGCTTTACTCCCAAACCACCACCGAGGGTTGCCTGCATTGGTCCATTCGACCATCGGTGGCCGCACTTTCAGCCGCTATGCCCCCCCCCCCAAACTCCGGAAGACTCTCCCTCAATCCCTCTGCCTTTCCCCCTCCTTCTCCATCTTCAGGTCGTACCTGAAGACCTTCCTCTTTGATTGCACCTGGTCACTTGCCCCTGGCTCAGTGTCGGGCTCAAGCACTCTGAGACGCTACGCTGCATAAGGGACACTATATGAAGCTGTTGTCTGTGAGTAAGGGTGTACGACATTGAGACGTGCTCATGTTGCTCAAACCCACTAATCACCATTTGGTGGTGCAGGAGGTTAACATTGTCAGCGTAGGCTTCCGCCAAACCGTGTGAATTGCTCCCAATGCACTACCTGCAACAATGGGAAAACAAATGAGCTAACAATTTCAGGCAGGATGTTTCACCGCACGATTTTTCACCTCCACCTCCAAATAAATAACCAGTTTGATGAAAAACGTCAAACCTGAAATTTGACAAGTAGTTTTTCAAATCCTGGAAAGCACATCTGCAAAGTCAAGAGCTCAGAAATATCCACTGTGAGATTTACTGAAAGCTGAAATCATTCCATTTTCCTTCCTCCCAGCTGGACTAACACCAGGCGGGTTCTCTTGTGCAACACAGAAAATCGCTGTTAAAATTGAGCAAATTTTCGTTCGGCCATTTCCAAACAACCACTACGTATTTGCGTTGGTTTTATTATTGTTATCGTGGGATTCAGTTTCGAGTAAGTGGTTGTTCACTACAGTGATTTTTGAAAGACATTGCCCTCCCTTCAGAACAGTTTTACCTTTCAACAGTTTCACACAGCAGTGCGTCCTCGCTATACGTCCTCTGCAGTTGCCCTACCAACTCAGGAACGGTTTCCAAAAGCTACGCTATCAACAGATATAACCAGAAAGGCAATAGAAGATGATACGATGGCAAACAGCGTCAACTTTCAGCACGGTGGTAAATCCAACTTTTGCATCTAAACTGAGAATCGACAAGATTAGTGGGTAATTACAAGATTAGTGGATAAATTACAAGCAATCAAGTGACCTGCTGCCAGGACTGATATTTGCAACTGCTTCCAGGTAATAACCCCAAAGTCAGGGGAGGTGGAGAGGTGCGATTGTTCAGCGTTTAACTGGACCATTCAGGCCAGAAACACCCAAGTTCCGTCTCCAGTTGATTCTACATTTGAAAGCAGTTGCTTGATAAAATTAATCTCAACACCCCAGGGGTAGAGATGGAAATTGCAACCAGATCGCCTGATCACTGTCCAGTGACTGCTACTAAAAGTGTGCTTGTGGGCTCTTCGATCAAGGGCAAGTAAGCCTGGCTGTGATTCCACCCCCAATGGTCAAACTGTCTATTAGACGAACACCGTGCATAATAATAATAATAATTCTTGCATTTGATATAGCGACTTATCACGTCCTTGCAACATCTCAAAGTGCTTCACAGAATGCACTATAAAGTGTAGTGATTGTATATTGCTTGTAGGCTCACATGAAGTCTGGGCAATTACCTGAAGGCCCAGTAACTATGGAGCCATGTCATTATTTTTATGACGAGGGGGGGGATGTGAAGCTGTAGAACAAGGGTCTTACATATAGCGTTACTGGGATGTTTCCAGATCTCATAAGAAGAATTCACAACTCGTTAGTGTGTAATTCAGCTTAAATTGAACATAATTCTAACACAAATCAGATTTTGCTTTGACACAATGTAAAATGTTGAAACAGGACCCTTCATGGAACAGATCGATATATCTTCAACACTGGTGTGGTTATGACCCTTTGCCAATGTTTTCCATTTTAATAAAACACGTGCTGATTACATTGTGAATTAAGTTTATGTAGTAACTGAGCAACAATAAATTCCTTTTCTGACGGCAGGTGTGAATAACCTAATTTATAGAAACTTTCACTAATGGCGGTCTGCGATGATAGCTAAATGTGCTTCCTTCCTTCCTCTTGTCAGTCTATGACAGTTTTTAACACATTACAAAGATATTGAGACTAATAGCGTTGCCCTGGATTTTCTCCAGGACTCATTATGTATAAAAGAATGATTGTACTTTGACCACGTAAATTTAGAACAAAATTAATGATCAAATCGACTTCTTTTCAACCCCGTGTCTCCGTAAAACAAACACGGACAAGAATGAAGACGTGTCAGAGACGAGCTAGATTCATTTTCAGTGGAAGTTGATCAAAAATTCACCCCACACATGGAGCATCACTCCACCCTCATTACTTGGTTGTCGACCATAGAGCTGTCTGAATTATAAGGCGACTGAAATTTGGATCCCACTTCTTGGTGTTATATTTTTATGCTACGCTGACACTCGCTGCAATGTGCAACTTATTACATTAACACTGTTCAGCTCTGTAAAGACAATACAATGTGAACCGTTCCCTTTCATCTCCTGTTGGTATTACTCCCCCCACCTAGGCTTTGCTGTTAACCGCTTGCAAAGTACAAGTAGTATTTGTGTGACGATGGCGTGGAGATATTGCAAGACTATATCTAATGGTTTTCCAAAATTCTAATGATCCTGCCAAAACCACCACCCCCCAACACACACACACACACACACGAGCACGCAGAATATTTCTCCATTTCCCTCGAGACCTTGCGTGAAGTCTGGGGGAATCAATTTCTGCTGGCCACAATGATTAGTAGGCAAATTACCTGGTGTTATTAGCTACTGGATCTCGCCTAGTGCAGCAGAAAGACTTCACTATATCCAACTTTGTTCTGAGCTCTGCCGCATTTCAAAACAAATAAGGACCTGCCCTGGAGCACAATTCAATGCATTATTGATGATACCGGAGGTACTGAATTCAGCCTCGGAAGAACAGACCATTAGTGAGCTTCTAGTAGTTTAATAAAATGTAATTACATTTATGGATAACTGCTAGGACATCCATTTGGAAGATTTTGTTTTTAAATTAAATTATAGAAGTTGAGACATCAGGTGAAAGCAGCTGGATATTTGGGAGCAACTGTCTACTAATAGACTTGAAAGCATTTGCACAGCAGGGTGATCAGAGCATTGTATAATTTATAATTTCAAAACTGATAAAGGGATGAAATTGCACCACATGGGCAAAAGATTCTGAAGATTCGAAAGCTCGTCGGTTGCATCAAGATGCAAATTGTTTTACTTTAACGCACTAATTATACCGCGACTAAATCAATCAGTTTCACTAAATTTGAAGTGAACTGCTGGGGAGACTCAGATGAAATTCCTGGGTTGAATTCCATGCACCCGTTTGAAACAGTGAGCAGCAAAATAAAGAATCATGCTCATGATTTGATACACAGACCACACCACGCTCATTGATTTGGGAGGATGTGATTATAATAATAATTCTTGCATTTGATACAGCGCCTTATCATGCCTTATCGAGACGTCTCAAAGCGCTTCACAGAACATACTGCATATTTTTTGGCAAAATATGGCCGTCAATTGTGCACAGCAGAATCCCCACAAACAGTCCTGGATTGAGTGACCACTTTTTTTATATATATATATATATATGAGAGAAATTAGTCTTATACTGTCAAATATATCTCATATAATCCAGAAAATGTTATTCAACCAACTGATGTGCACCACATCTGCTAAAAAAATGAAAAATAAATATAAGTGGCATGCATGGTGTGTAACAAAATAATTTGGGGGTAATTAACATATATTGATATTGAATTCACTTGAATGGGTTCCTGCTAAGTTTTGAAAAATATTCCTTCAGGAAAATAGACCAAACACTAATTACTTGAAAGTTAAGTTTTCCTTTTTAAAACACACAGAACATCGAGCTGCAAATGTTTTCGTTTATTTTATTTGCGTTCCTCTGCTCCTCTCTCATTTATGCATTAACCGGAGCTGTTCACTAAACAATGGCAAATTTCAGGCCATACTTAGCGGTAAACGAAAGATGAATAGCAAAAGTGGTGGCAGAGGCAAGATGCACACCTATGCTTCTCCCTCAAAGCAAGCGCCAAATACTGAACCTGCTCTCAAGCAACAACAGATTACATTTGTATAACGCCTAAGACGCTGGATAATCGGGGATCACGCTGGTGGAGGTAGGAGGATGACCGAAGACACGGTCAAAGAGGAGGGTCTTGAGACAGGTCTTGAAGGTGGCAAGGGAGGGGGTGAGGCTGCGGGACTGAGTTCTAGAGAGTGGGGGCAGAGTCTGAAGTCCGCGCTTGCCAATGGTGTGGCAGGCAAGGCGGGGGACGTGAAGCAGGCCGGAGCGCTGATAACAGAGTAGGCTAATCGCCACAGGCTATCCCTAACTGTCTTCCACCGCCGAGATTAAGAATGATATGGTGGTGGTGAGCTGGGGTGGTGGTGGGGGGGGGGAGAAGAGAACCTGAGAGTAAGACAACTTCCGAATGATCCAGGCTAGCACTTATAAGATTCTAAGCTGCAATCCAAGAGAAAGAAAATTTCCCCAGTGGTAAAATAAGAAAAGTTAAGTTCTGTATTCTGTTAAGCTCTGTTAACGAGACCGGGCCTCGTTAGAAAACAGCAGGAACGATTGCTAGACAATGCTCACAAAGACGAGCTATGCAGTTTAAGTGGGCAGACTCCAGCGGTACTCCATACACTTCGGGGTACCCAAGCCATGGCTCCTGCCAACCAGCACCTAATGCTGTGCGGAAATGAGCGAGCAGGGTGTGCGTTCCTCCAGGGAGGGAGCGGGCATTCCGTTCCAAGCACAGGGAAATTCCTATACATTGCGGCGCGTATATGTGGACCGTCGGTCTGGGTTTGATAGTCAGTGATTGCTATCCGCATGCGACACACAGAGAAAGTGTCAACACAGGGA